CTGGGCTGGGCTGGGCTGGGCTGGGCTGAGGGGGTGGAGGGGGGTGGAGCGGGGGCGCAGGGGCGCCAGGCGGGAGCGGGTCCCTCTCCTCCCGGGGCGCTGGGCGCCCGGTCTCCGCGTTTTCTGAGGTCAGGCGGAGACTGTCTTTGGGGAGGGTGAAGGCTCGCCCACATGCCGCGGGCAGGAGAGGAGAGTGGGTCCGGGTGACGAGGGTGGGGCCAAAGAGGCCAGGAGGCCGAAGCCCTGGGGCTACGGGGGTGGCCTGGGCGTGCACCGGCGCCCGCCGGGAGCTCCAGGAGCGGACTGGGCGCGTGGCAGCTCCGGAGCAGGTCGTGGGAGTTCCGTCTGGGCACGCGGGATGCCGAGGTACTCGAGCTCACGTTCGCGGGAAGGCTCCCGGCTGAGCGGACGGCTCTGAGCCGAGGTGCGGCCTGCGCACCGCCGCACTGCTGTGTGCGGGGCTGGGCTGCAGACCAGCCTTGCAGCAGCAGGGAGCGCTGCAGGGGAGACGCTGGCGGACCGAGAGGTGGAAGGGAGGACTGCAGAGCCGGGTCTGGGAGCCAAGGTCGGGGTCGGGGGAGGGGGTCTGCTCGGTCAGATATGGCCACGAGGTCAGTAAGAGGAGCACTGAGAAAGAGCGTTTGGGATTAGCAAGGTGAAGGCTGTGGGTGATCCAAGCCACTAGCGCGGCCAGATGGCCTCGAAGGAGAGCAGTGTTGGAGGGCTCACACCACTTCATTTCAGACCTTCCTGGAAGGCTGCAGCATTTAAGACAGTGTGGGCCAGTGGAGCAGAACAGAGTTCAGAACCAGATCCCATGTCCATAGTCCACCGATGGCACCAGATGTGCTGATTCAATGGGGCAAAGGAGCCTTTTCCGCAGCGATGCCAGAGCCCCCGGGAGGTGGGTGGGCATGGGGACACGCAGCCCCTGCACCATGCCGGGCCGGAACTTTCATTTGAGCGGGCTCATAGGCTTACAGGGAATGGAAATGTTTGAAAGAGGGAAGCAAAATATCTCACCATCTTGGAGCAGGCAGAAGTTTCCTACCTAGGGCACGAAAAGGGAAACCATAAAGGAAGAAAATAAATCTGTCATCAAAAGGAAAACCTGTGCTCCTTGAAAGACTGTTAAGGAAATGAATAGGCAAACTGCAGATCGGAAGAGAAAATTCACAATAAGTACACCTGACACAGGAGCTGTGCCAAGGTT